GACCCCTGAAAGTATTCCTGGAAATCCACAGGGAATACCACAAGATGTAAGTATTAGTAAGGATTAGTAAGTATTGATCCACAAAACTGAAGGTAGCAGTTACCTCCAAGGTAAAGGGTGAGAGGGAGAAGAAATTTAATTTGTAAAGAAGCACGCAGGGGGTTTCAGGGTTATCGGTAACATTCCACTTTTTAATCTAGGTGTTGGGCATATAAGTATTTCTCAAGCTATTCTTTAAAATAGATTTATTGCGGGCGGCGGTGGCTCACGCCTGTAATCCTAGCACTCTGGGGGCTTGGGCGGTGCGATCGCTCAAGGTCAGGGTTCGAAACCAGCCTGAAGCAGAGCGAGACACCGTCTCTACTATGAATAGAAGAAATTAATTGGCAATAATATATATGATAAATTAGCGGGCATGGTGGACGCCTGCCTTGAGTCCCAGCTACTCGCGGAGGCTGAGGCAGGAGGATTGCTTGAGCCCAGGGCATTGGAGGGTTGAGTGAGCTAGGGCTGACGCCACGGCACCTCACTCTACCTGGCGCAACAAAGACGAGACTCTGGTCTACAAAAAAAAAATAATAAATATAAATGCATATAATTGAGCAACACACGCTTTTTATAAATATTTCCTAATTTAAACAATAGTTTCAGGACTACCAGTCTAGACCAGGCTTTACTACAAATCATTCCCCAATTCCGGCTCATGAGATAAGTCAAAATCTTTTCTCATAGTATACAGTTTTCCTTATCAAGAAACGTGATGAAAATTTTCTTTTCTTTTTTTTTTTGAGACAGAGTCTCACTTTCTTGTCCAGGTTAGGGTGAGTGCCGTGGCTACAGCCTGGCTCACAGCAACCTCCAACTCCTGGGCTCAAGCGATCCTCCTGCCTCAGCTCCGAGTAGCTGGGACTACAGGCATGCACCACCATGCCTGGCTAACTTTTTCTATGTATATTAGTTGGCCCAATTAATTCTTTATATTATAGTAGAGACGGGTCTTCGCTCTTGCCCAGGCTGGCTTCGAACTCCTGACCTTGAGCAATCCGCCCGCCTCGGCCTCCCAGAGTGCTGGGATTCAACTGTTTGTTGAATAATAGCTACAAGCCAAATGCTATCTTGGCACCAGAGAGAGAAGTCACACAGATACTATCCCTGCCCTTCCTTATTCGTAAGGGAAGATGATGCTGGAATAAAAACCATCAGGTAATATGTAAATATGATACAACTACAAATATGGAAATATTATACAAGTGGTACCATAAAAAAGCAGAGTGTTGTGAGAGAGACAAGGGACTTTCTTAAGTAGGGGGGTTCCAAGACGGCCTCTCTCAGGACTGAACACAAGCCGAAACCTGAAGAGGATTCAGCCAAGCAAAGGGGAGAGATGGTGTACACTCCGGACAGAACATGGCACGTGCAAAGGCCCTGGGGCAGGGTAGAGGCTGAAAGACTTGAGAGGCTACAGGAAAGCCAGAGTCAGAAAGAGAGTGACAGCACGGGATGGCCCTGCAGGGGCAGATAGAGCCAGAGTCCGCAAGAACCTGTGGGCAGTGGTATTTTCTATGAAACTGGAGGCCACTGCTGTACTATTGGGAACAGCTACACGGAGGGAGGCAAGAGAAAAAGCCAGAATCCAGTAAGAAGCGACTGTAGGAGTTCGGCTGACGCTGTCGGCCGGGCGTTAGGGTGGCGAGCCAGTGTGGAGCAGGTTGGACCGGAAGGAGGAGATGGAGACATTACCGAGAGACACGCCCAGACAGAATTCAGCGACGGAACAGACATAAGGTGAAAATGGTGCCAAGGAGCACACCCTAGTTAAAACACAAAGACTGCTGATCTGTAAATCATAGTGTTTACAATACAGTCCTAATTTTCACATTTAAAAGTACATAAAGTGGCCAGGCGTGGTGGCTCAAGCCTGTAATCCTAGCACTCTGGGAGTGCCAAGGCGGGTGGATTGCTCGAGGTCAGGAGTTCGAGACCAGCCTGAGCAAGAGTGAGACCCCGGTCTCCACTAAAATAAATAAATTATGGCCGACTAAAATTATATACAGAAAATGACGGGCATGGTGCGGTGCCTGTATCCCAGCGTACTGGGGTGGCTGAGGCAAGGAGGATCGCTTTAGCCCAGAGCTGGGTTGCTGTGAGCTGCTACACCACGCACTCACTCTAGCCTGGGCAACAAGATGAGACTCTGTCTCAAAAAAAAAAAAAAGTACATACAGTTATTCTCAAAATAAACTGAGCATCAAAAAGAATGAAAAACTGCAACGGATGAAAACACATGAAATATGTTAAAATTCATGAGTTCACCACAAAACAATAACACAAAAGAGAGAGAAGGAGATAAAGTGTATCAAAGACTCTAACACTGTTGGACAAGTGGTAAAAAAAATGAACTAAGTCAAGGACACATGTTGTCATCTCTAAAAGAACTGCTAAAAGAATTTGGAACTGGCAATATGACAGATATCCAAAAATTTTTTTGAAAATATTTCATTGATCTTCAAAAGAAGGCAAGAGAAAAATGAATATAAAATAGGTGGGTTACATAAAAACAAAAAGTACAGAGGTAGAAACATACTGCCATTTGACTGTATGTGTTAAACTACAACACCAAGGATGTTTCCAGAATGTGGGAAATTCCACAGGACAAAGAACCTGATTTCCTCAACCAATGAATTGCAAGGGAAAAGGGTAGATTAGGAAACACTGACCAAATGCAGTGTGCAGACCATGTTTTGGATCCTGACTTGAATTAATCTGCTAAAAAAACAACATGACATAATCAGAAAAACTTGAACCTTGAGCGGACAATAATTTAAAGGAATTGTTCTTAGGTGTGATAATGGTATTACACTTGTTTTTCTTTTTAAAAGACTTTTTATACGCCTTTTAGAGAGAAATAGCAATGTAATGAAGAGATTACAAATGACAAGACACGTTATCTGGGGCCGGCTTACTAATGAATCCAAGGGCAGAGGGGCGTGGGAGAGAACAAGGTGGGTCAAATTGTTAACAGTCACCAATCCTGGGAAAATACACACATGGGATTTACCATGCTTGTCTCTCTACTTTTGTATTCCTTTGAATGTTACTGGAATATAAAGTATTCCAGTAAACAGAGGGAGAAAGGGAGGGAAGGAGGATCTCTAGACAGGTAAGTATATGCAGAAAATGTTTTGCCAGGGCAGATTTTTAAAATGTTCCAGTGGGTTATATCTGGGCTAATGTGATCACAGTTTTTAGAAAACGTTACAAATTCATCATCTCTGGGTGAGAAGATTACTGGTAATTTTTAGTCTCTTTTTGCTTAGCTGTGTTTTCTAATTGTTTCTATAATGAGCAAATGAGAATGTTGATTCCAAAATTGTTTAAAAAGATAAAAGGAAAACTGCCCAGAAAAACAAAAAAGCCTCTCCGGTTACATGGATGTTGATTGTGTAAATCCACATTTCTTAGCCATTTCTGGGTCATGGTTGGCAATGGACTGAACGAAAGTCTGTGTCCTCCCAAAATTCACAGGTTGAAACCCTGATCTTTAGTGGGATGGTATTTGGAGGTGGGGCCTTGGGGGGGGGTGATTAGGTCGGGAGGGTGGAGCCTCATGATGGGATCAGCACCCTCATACAGACAGACATGAGAGTTAGCTCCCTCTATCTCCCCCGGGGACATGGCAAGCGGGTGCCCACCCACAAAAGAGAAGGACCTCACCCCAAACCACACCCTCCGCTCAGACGTCCAGCCCCCAGAGCCGTGAGAACGGAATCTCTGTCGTTTAAGCCACTCATTGTCACCCTGTGTTATGACGAACACACAGGCCTCTTGCAGAATCTGATGAAAGCCACTCTTCCCCGAAAAATGCATCATTTTTCATGAGATGTCAAGAAGCTGAGACCCCCTAATGAACCTATATGTTGATAGTAGTTATAATAAATGACAATAATAGCTGACGTCTACTGCATGCTTGCTGTGTGTGTCAGCCACGGTTCTAAGTGTTTTACGAGTGTGGGTTCATTTAATCCTCCCCCCATCCCTACGAGATGGACACTCTCATCATCACCTAGAACCAACCATGGTTCTAAGTGTTTTACGAGTGTGGGTTCATTTAATCCTCCCCCATCCCTACGAGATGGACACTCTCATCATCACCTAGAACCAACCACGGTTCTAAGTGTTTTACAAGTGTGGGTTCATTTAATCCTCCCCCCATCCCTACCAGATCGACACTCTCATTATTCCCATTTTACAGATGAGGAGAGTGAGGACAGAGAAGATGAGTAATTTCCACTGGGTCCCACAGTTACTGAATGAAAGGGCCTGCTGACAAACTCAGGCAGCCTGGCTCCAGAGCTCGGCTCTTGACAAGCCCAATGAAGGCCACCCATAGAGTTTAAATTAAATATACCAAGCAAATATGACGTCCTGAACCATGCTCTGGAGAACGTCTTCAAACTCAATTAACACCAAGGGCCTACCAGATGCCAGAACCATCCAAATACATCGGCTCACCAAACCCTCGAACAGCACTGGGACTCGCCCCAAACACCCAGCTACCTGTTGTCGTATAAAAATGAGACTCATCAAACCTGTCTTCCGACTTCAACATAGGACAGCCGCCTCCCTCTGAGTTGGGGTATACGGTCTAAGCCACACATGACCTCCTCATGACCAAAATCTTTTCAAGATAACTTGTCCAGGTTTAACCCAACAGTTCTATTTACGAACCCTAAAACTTGGCCATGGTGCCAAGCAGTTCAGCATTTAAGGGGGTTTCCCTCCGTGACCCTGCTCGGGCCCACTGAGACATCTGGGATGGATGCAAGCTTGCAGAAGTTTGCCCTTGAGTTCCGCATGCATGAACAGGATTGTCCACCCATCCTGAAGGCAGCTGCTACGTGCAATAATACCACATCGCGCTTGCATGCAACCCAGCCTGTACAAACATGCACACGCGAGTGACACGCGAGCCCCACCCCACCCCACCCCCAGATACTTACAGTTTCACAGTTCAAGCATCGAGTTTCATTGGTGAGCGTTCCCTGAAAAATCTCATGAACCCAGGTGAGTTCTGGTTTGTTATTCTCCGCAGGTTCGTTCATGTTGCCATTTTTGAGTTTTCCGTTTTGTTTTTCCTGTTTCTTCTCTTCCTGCAGGATGTCCGCGATAGTGTTCAGCAAATAATTTAAAAATTCGTGAGCGTCCTGCTGCATGTAGTTATCAAAGAGATCTGGAAAGGAGGAGGTGGCCACGCTTCAGTCTCCGGTTCTTGAAAAGCAAACGCACATGCTTCGTTTTGCGGGCCATGCCTCGGTTTTTATACTGCATGGACGGGCGGGTATGGGGTACAAATATTTGCATTTCTACTACGTGGCTTCGATAAGTAAGTTCCAAAGGCATTTTTGTTGGTTTGCATTTTCTGCCACCCACCAAGGACTCAACTTCCCCATCTCCCTAAAAGTCATCATGTGTATAAAAAGCCACCCAAAAATTTTGATCTGTTCTACAAAAGAACAGGAATTCCCTGATAAAATGTCAACTTTTAATGTGATGTAACCACCCATGATCGATTATTCATTGATTGGGTAATTTATCTAGAGCAACTGGGGTCTCTTCTCGAAGATCATATTAAACCCTAGACCAACCTGCAAGCAGCTTAAAAGGAAACACACAAGGGAGGGGAGGAACACGTATGAGCGGGTTATCTATCGGCAGTGTGTTCTGAAACCAAGTACAGAAGATTCCAGAAGCCCACTGCTGTTCCCTGCTCTCAGGACAAACAATCAAGAGATGAATGCGGCTGTGAAACTTCATTATTAATCACATCCACAACTAGAGAGAGAGAGACAGAGACAGAGAGCTCTGCTTCCTTCACTACTCCAATTATTTTTATCCTGCCATGTTAAACCATAACGACTTCAAAAGACAGCAATCAAATTAAACAAGACTTTATAAAACAAACATCTGATTAGCTGTGTGCAAGTCTGGTGGAGTCCGGGTGGATCCAGGATAAACACTGGCTGCCGTAATCAAACAGTTTCACGGTCATAAAAATGACCAGCACGAAACTTCTGGAATGCACACCTCGTTTCTATCACCACCACCCCCAAAAGAAGACAGAAAGGCCAGAAAAATCAGGACATTTTTTGTTTTATCATACAAAGCTATCAATTTGATATCCTTCAATTATTCTAATAAAAATCAGAGGTATTATTTTTAAAACAGCAGAGGTGCTGATTAGATAATACGAGATTACTTTGATCACTTACGACAAGTCTAGAAAACAGAACTATTTTGTTCCATTATTGCACCCACCTACTTACTACAACGAGTGTCTCACTCAAGAAGGCTGCCCGGGACAATTTTTTTCCTCTGGCAATGACCCTATCCAGAAGGCAGCAAATAAAAAGATCATTCAAAAACTGGGATGACAAATGTGCCTTTTAAAGCCTATTTATTCACATAATCCAGTTTTGCTGTACGCATACTGGGTAGAGAAGAGATAAATGTTTTTTTGTTCTTTTGTTTTTGTTTTTTAAATGATACTCGAGTAGTTGCCCAAACTTATTTTCTTTTCAAAATAAATAAATAAATAAATAATGGCCGGGCGTGGTGGCTCACGCCTGTCATCCTAGCACTTTGGGAGGCTGAGGCGGGAGGATCGCTCAAGGTCAGGAGTTCGAAACCAGCCTGAGTAAGAGAGAGACCCCCGTCCCTACTATAAATAGAAAGAAATTAGTTGGCCAACTAAAAATGATATTGATAGGCCAGGCCGCGTGGCTCACCCTGCAATCCTAAGCACTTCGTGAGGTGAGCGGGCGGATCTCTGGATGTCAGGAGCTGGAACCGGCAGCGAACCCTGTTCTACTAAAACATAAAGAATTAATGCCCAAAAACAACATATAAAACATATATATAAAATATATAGAAAAATAAAGAAACGAGCCAGGCTGTGGCCCATGCCTGTAGTCCCAGTACCGGGACGGAGGCTTGAGGCAGGAGACGCTTGAACCAGAATTGAGTTCTGGACTAGGCTTACCCATGGCACTACCTAAGCCCGGCAACAAAGCGAAACTCTAAAAAATAAAGTAAGTACGTAATAAATAAATAAAAGTAATAATAAATAAATAAAAATAAATAAAATAATAAATAATAATGAATAAATGATGAAAAATAATAAATAAATAAAAATAAATAAAAATAAATAAAATAATAAATAGTAATAATGAATAAATAATAATAAATAAATAATAATAATGAAAAAATAATAAATAATAAATAAATAAATAATTTAAAATAATAATAAATAAAAATAATAACAATAAATAAAATAAATAAATAAATAAATAAATAAATAAACAAAATAATGATAAATAATAAATAAATAATAAATAATAATAAATAAACCCAGCTCTCCACTTGGTGGGCACGCAGAGCACCCCGCTAGTTTCCCTTGGTTGGGGGCAGCCTCGGGGCGGGCGGGCGCTCCTCACCGTTCTCCTTCCTCAGGCGGGAGATGAACTTCTTCGGGGGGATCACGCCGACCTTCTTCTTCTGCGTGGCGATGCTGTGGAAGAGGTCGGCCAGGCAGGTGAGCAGGTTCTCCTTCTTCTTCTGCTGGGCCTTGTAGGCCAGCACGTTCTCGCGGAACGGCCGGCAGAAGTACAGCGCCTGGAGCACGGAGTTGCAGTAGCACGTGTTCCCGAACTGCCAGAGGACGACAGGGGCGGCGGGCACGGTCATCTTCTGGGGACAGGCGGGGAGGGCAAAAAGAGAAAAGGCCACCCCCCACCCCCGCGACCCGGCCCAGGGCTCCCCACACTGGGGCCCGGCCTGCCGCCCTAGGACACCAGCTCCCAAAGGGCCGGTGACAATCTGGTCGGCAGGGATGACAATGAGCGAATGTGCCACCCTGCTGCTTCTGCAGCCCGCAGAAGTCTCTAGAAGGGTGACGGACACGCTGGCTGCCTCCTCGAGGAAGAGTCTAGAGAGACCTTCTGGTGCTTATGAAAGGGGAGAAGAAATAGCTCCAGAATAGGAAGACCCAGGAAAGCAGCTGGCTAAAAAAAAAGGAGGCCATCCATGGCTTCCCTTAATAGTATGTCTGAAAAATAAAAAAATAAATTTAAAAAAAAAAGACAAAAATATTAAAAATAATAATAATAAAAAAATAAGGAAGCCACATTTGCAAGACATCAAAACTTCCTGCGACACAGAAAATACAAAATCCAAGTCAAAGACAGACCCAGCAACTAGGAACCCCTTGCTCGGCTAGAACCAGCCTGAATTTGGCAGGGGACCAGTCTCCCTTTTTCTCTCTTGCCAGCTTCCAAGTGACCCTGTCCCCTGGGCTCAGACCCCACCTTCCTCAATTGTCCCAGTACGACAGACGCAAGAAGGGACCCCCCCATGTCACCCTCTACCATCCCGCCCCAGCTTCCCACCGTCCCAACCTCCAAACTGCCCTCGATCTTGTTTCTGCCCAGGTGACAACTGTCGCATGAACGACGCCACCCAAATCCCTAGCGTCCCACCATGGGACCTCGGCCCGCACGGTGGATGCTGAGACCGCGGTGACACAGGGAAGAGATTTCACTGGTTTCCACTGGCTGGAAGAGCAGCTCCGTGGGGCAGAGACCGCCACGGTGGGATTTTCCGTGCACGGTGAAATGCAAAGATTGCAAGGGAATAACGAGATTAGCACCGCATGTCACAAAATGCTACGTGCGGTGCAAGCACACCTTGCACACCTTCTCAAATCCGGTTGTTGGCTCGTGTGGCGTTCGCCCAAAAGCACACAGATGCCACGCCATGCTTAACATGACATTTCTACACGTGCTAAGACAGAAGCCGTCCTATTTTTAGATTTTAATCTGCTCTGACACAATTATGTAACAGGAGGCAGACCTCTTTTTACAGAGAAAAAGCTGGCACTTTGATAAATCCCCACCCTCAAGGGAACAACCCAAATGAAGCTATTAATAAATATAGATCTCGACGATTCTTTCCACCAACTAGCAAATGGCCTTAATGCTTTTTTTTTCTCTGCAACCTGCACTGGCGTTTCCCTTAGCCAGTGCAGAATTCCCATCGAATAACTATCTTCACAGCGCTGAGCAGAGGCCTGTGCATACTGGTTAAAAAAATCTGTATTAAAATTAGAAGTACACGCCTGTCATCCTAGCACTCTGGGAGGCCGAGGCGGGAGGATCGCTCAAGGCCAGGAGTTCAAAACCAGCCTGAGCAAAGAGCGAGAACCCGCTCTACTATAAATAGAAAGAAATTAATTGGCCAACTAATATATATAGAAAAAAATATCCAGGCATCGTGGCACATGCCTGTAGTCCAGCTACCCGGGAGGCTGAGGCAGGAGGATCGCTTGAGCCCAGGAGTTTGAGGTTGCTGTGAGCTAGGCTGACGCCACGGCACTCACTCTGCCTGGGCCAACGAGTGAGACTCTGTCTCAAAAAAAAAAAAAAAAAAAAGAGTCACTGGTGATGAGCTGGTAACTCCTAAAGATCCAGGTGCAACGAAGCACACTACAACAAAGACTGCCCGAAGAGTTCATCCAAGAGAACACGTAAAAGAAGATCTGGCTAAAAAAGCCTGATAAAATCAGATTCAAGTTATGTATCCAAAGGAAATTCCTTAAAGCACAGGGGAGAAAATGTGAATTCGGCCCCAATAATGCAGTAATTTACACACTGACTGCAGGTGAGTTGTATTTAACTCAGGCTGGTTATGAGCCCAGGGCCAGGTGAGGCAAAACCCTGCAGCTGTTTCCCAAAGTCCTTCCTTGTTGATGTTCTTATGGTTACAGTTAATATCGACAATTTCATCCTAAAAACCTGGACGGCACTGCATATAACTCACACAGAGAAAAACAATAAAAATAGGCCTGATGCCACATTCATGTTGCAAAAAAAAAAAGAAAAAAAAAATATTAAAGTATTAAAGAATAAATATTAAAGTAGAAAGAAAGAAAAGAGAGAGGAAGAAGGAAGAAGAAGAAGGAAGAGAAAGAAGAGAGAAAGAGGAAAGAGGAAGGAAGGAAGAAAGAAGAAAGAAGAAGAAGAAAAGAAAATGAACAAATTAGGATCATTTTTTTAAGGGAACATCATGGCCACAAGAAAAAAGAAAAAGAACAGAAGAAGGAAGAGAGAAAGAGAAGAAAGAAGAAAGAAGAAAGAAAAAAAGAAAGAAAAGAGAAAAGAAAAGAAAAGAAAAAGAAAATAACAAGTTAGGATCATTTTGTTTTAAGGGAACATCGTGGCCCCAGGGAAAACATTTTTTTTCTGTAAGCGTGCCAGTCAATGGGCTAAATCCTTTTTTGCTGGGACAACTCACACTTTGAAAAATAGATTGAACTGCCCCCTCCCTCAACACCTGCCACTTCTACGAACTGAACGGCACGGCCGATTCTTCCAAAATTGGCAATGGTGAAAACTGGCGACGGGGCCGCACAGCAGGAAGCCGGGCTTCATCTCTGTTGACAGCCGCTCCCCGTGCCCGCATCCCCGCCGAGCCCCGCCCGCCCCGCTGCCCCCTCCGCCCTTCCCCAGACAGAAACCATCTTCCGCGAGGCGGTCCCCGATGCCAGGGAGGCTGGGGCCACCGCCTGCTGCCCTCAAACACTTGATGGAGAGGGTACATTTTTAAGTACTCACGTTGACCAATCCAAAGTAGTGCTCATTGATCGGAAACTGCTCTGGACCAATGTCTTTCTCCAGAGCAGAGGCATTGGTGCCCTGAAAGAGGAAAACAGCAAAGGTTCAAGTTGAGCTCAAGAGAAGCAGGAAAAGCAAAATGACCCTTAAAGAGAGTCCACCGCTGGAAGGAGCAGGTCCCCTGGTCACCAAGGTGGTGCTGATGCAGAGAGAAGCAGGGTCAGGAGCAAACCAGAAGGGGAGCTAATAGAGTCAGCCCCGTTCCTCTCCTAAGCCAACGTAGTTATTTACGCCCCCCACCCAAACCTGTTCTACCTGCCTTCAACGCTCTTCTGTTAGGAAAGGACGCTTAGGACGGGCAAACAAAGCCAAACGAAACTTCCGAATAAATAAAGCACTGCCATTTCAGACAGCGGCTGCAGCTTTTGCACTACTTGGTGGCACAGAGAATCACATTACCAGCCGGGCAGGCGGTGTCCACGCCTGTGATCCTGGCACTCTGGGAGGCCGAGGAGGGAGGATCGCTCGAGGTCAGGAGTTCGAGACCAGCCTGAGCAAGAGCGAGACCCACTGTCTCTATGAAAGACAGAGAGAAATTAATTGGCCAACTAAAAATATATAGAGAAAAAATTAGCCGGGCATGGTGGCGCATGCCTGTAGTCCCAGCTACTCGGGAGACCGAGGCGGGAGGATCGCTCAAGGTCAGGAGTTCGAAACCAGCCTGAGCAAGAGCGAGACTCCCGTCTCTACTATAAAAATAGAAAGAAATTAATTGGTCAACTAATATATATAGAAAAAATTAGCCGGACATGGTGGGCCATGCCTGTAGTCCCAGCTACTCGGGAGGAGGCTGAGGCAGGAGGATCGCTTGAGCCCAGGAGTCTGGGGTTGCTGTGAGCTAGGCTGAGGCCGCAGCACTCTCGCCTGGGCAAAAAGTGAGACTCTGCCTCTAAATAAATAAATAAAATAAAATCTAACGGTTCCCAGATGCATCAAATTGGTCAGCCACACGAGACTGCACCATGATCATAACGACAGCTACTAGGTGCTCTTACTATGTGCTATTTATTCTTACAACAATCCTGTGAGCTAAGTACCATCATTTCCCCCATTTCGCAGACAAGGAACTTAAGACTCAGAAGGGCTGAAGAACCTGTCCGAGGTCCATAGCCAGTAAGTGGCAGAGCTAGGACTTGAACCCGGGACTCCGACCTGGGTGCCCACGAGCTTAACCAAATGCCATGCACAGCGATGCCAACTGGTGAAACCACTCACTGAGCCCCAGTAGGGGTCAGTTCAGTGGCATCTGATTAGTGCGACTCCCCAAGGCCCGGCTGAGTCTGCTGCGATGAGAAAAAGTGACCAGCGCTCGGTCCAACCAGGGAGGCAGTTTAACAAGTGGGTGGCATTAGGCTCTGTCGTCGTGTAAGCGAAGTCTCCGTCTATACTGTCACACCTTCTCCGGCTCTCAGGGAACACGCACAGGTCACAGAGACTAAAGGATTCGGGTGACAGGTGTTTTAAAAGGAATAAGATGCTTACGTTGCATTTAAAAAAACAATCTACTGCTACTACGTACGTAGTCTTGACTTTCATAATTGGCATCTCATCTCCGTAGGGTGAGAGCCTGGCAAAACGGCCACTTGTCACCAAGCAAACATGAAAATGCAAAAGGACCCGACTCTAAGCAAACAGAACTATAATAAAAACTTGGCACACGGCAGGGCCTTATCACAGCACCCTCTGTTTCCACTTGTTTTCCTAAGTTCCTTTACTCTGTTCCACCAAAGTAATAAACTCCTTTACCCGTCGCCTGAGACTTCGGGTTTGGTGATCATCTGTGTGGGGGACAGTCTCAGCCTCTTTTCCGCAGTGTGCCTGGGAGGGTGGGGTGCGGCTGGCTGCCTCCCCAGTAATCTGACTCCCCCCACGAGGCTGGATTTTTTGAAATCCATCAAACTGCTGCAGGTTTTTATGACAGAGAAAAAAAAAAAATCGCCTAAAAAAATTCCAATAAAGTTATACCTCAGTCCATGAATCCGTGTAAACGGCGCATATTAAATACACCTGTGGCCATTTTTCGAGCTAAATTGGAAAATGTGGCTCAGAGCCCGGGAGGGATGTCGTCAGATGTCAAAGTATATCTATGGCACACGGAGATGGACCTCATTTAGTCTGTGGCCACGTATTTGAGTCAGTCCATGGTTGTTGTTGTTTTTTTGTTTGTTTTTTTCATCTTAATAACATGGTTTTTTTTTTTTTTCAATTTTCTACCGGATTTATTTATTTATTTTTTTAATGTTTTTTTTTCTTCATTTCGGCATATTATGGGCGTGCAAATTTTAAGGTTTCAAAAAATGCCCTTTCCCCCCCCTCCCCCCACAAGTCTGAGTTTCCAGCTAGTCCATGGATTTTGCCATTTGGAAATTCCGAGGTTGAGTCTACTTTTCCCTACCTCACTACTTCCCACCGTTTGACTCGCAAGAGCGGAGGACAGGGGCTCAGGGGCCAGCGTCCCCGAGCAATGCCCTGGGAACAGAGGCAGCGGCCACCAAGATGGCCCGGCACAGCGAGGGAAGAAGGTTAGCTGCACTGCCATTTCAGACAGCTGCTGCAGCTTTTGCACTACTTGGTGGCATAGAGAATCACATTACCGGCCGGGCGCGCGGTGGCTCACGCCTGTGATCCTGGCACCCTGGGAGGCCGAGGAGGGAGGATCGCTCGAGGTCAGGAGTTCGACACCAGCCTGAGCAAGAGCGAGACCCACTGTCTCTATGAAAGATAGAGAGAAATTAATTGGCCAACTAAAAATATATAGAGAAAAAATTAGCCGGGCATGGTGGCGCATGCCTGTAGTCCCAGCTACTCGGGAGGCCGAGGCGGGAGGATCGCTCAAGGTCAGGAGTTCAAAACCAGCCTGAGCAAGAGCGAGACTCCCGTCTCTACTATAAAAATAGAAAGAAATTAATTGGTCAACTAATATATATAGAAAAAATTAGCCGGACATGGTGGCGCATGCCTGTAGTCCCAGCTACTCGGGAGGAGGCTGAGGCAGGAGGATCGCTTGAGCCCAGGAGTCTGAGGTTGCTGTGAGCTAGGCTGACGCCACGGCACTCACTCTAGCCTGGGCAACAGAGTGAGACTCTGTCTCAAAAAAAGAAAACAAAAACAACCGTCTGTTCTGAACATTTGCAGATGAATCGGATGATTTCTGAGATTTCAGACAATCGGGTGGCGAGGGGGGGGAGGTCGTGCTACTGAGGCTGAGCGCTGCTGAGGGGGGGCTCTTCGTGCTTTTCTGTGTCCACTGGCACGCACGGGTGTGGGGGCACGGGAGGCTCGGAGCCCGTGAGCAGATGTGACGATGGAAACGGAGGACAGCCAGGGACCCTGCAGACGCCACGCAGGCGACCTTGACCACGGAGACAGGGCCGTGCGCCGAGGAGCACAGGCAGCCTCTAGAAACCAGAGGAGGCAAGGAGACGGATTCTGTCCTGGAGCTTCCGGAAGGTGTGCAGCCCGCCATCCCACATGACCCTCAGAACTGCAAAATGACACATCTGCATCGGTTCCAGCCACTAAATTTGCGGTGATTTTTTTTTTTACAACAGTACCGTGTTTCCCCCAAAATAATACGGGGTCTTATATTTATTTTTCCTCAAGAAGACACCCTAGGGCTTATTTTCAGGGGATGTGTTATTTTTTTTAAGCACGGTACAACAATCTCCATTGATTCAAATAGAGTGAAGTCGTCTTCTTCTGGAACATCATCATCACGCTCCAGACCCCGAATCCCATCCTGAATGTCTTGCGACTCTGTTTCCTTTAGAACCACTGGCCCCGATCTCTCCTGTGGAGCACTAGAGCTCTCACGGGGCAGATGAGAAAGGCTGCTCGTGTTCTTTCCCGATCCGTGACGCCATGCACGGGTTGTGCAGATGCGCTGCCCACACCCGTCACTAGGGCTGATTTTCATAGCCACGCCCCTCACCAGGGCTGATTTTCATAGCCACGCCCCTCACTGGGGCTGATTTTCATAGCCACGCCCCTCACTGGGGTTGATTTTCATAGCCACGCCCATCGCTAGGGCTGATTTTGGGGGTAGGGCTTCTATTGTGCACATGCTCAGAAACCCTGCTAGGGCTTATTGTATGGGTAGGGCTTATTTTCGGGGAAACACGGTAATAAGAAACTAACATCCTCCCTTTCCAGCCTCCGTTCCCCACTGTGTCTCCCTTACCCACCCCACTGCTGTTTACACGATTATTAACATCTGCCCCATCTCCTGGACTAGACATCATGGGAGCAAAGGACACGTTGCACCTGCCCAAGCCCACGCCCCTGCTGGCTGACAAGCGGCAGCCCCACCATGCCTGCCGGATGGCGGGGAGGGTCGAGACCTCCTTGAGCTCGAAGCGATCCTCCTGGCCTCAGCCTCCTCCCCCTGAGTAGCTGGGACTACAGGCATCGCCACCATGCCGGACTGACTTTTTTCTGTGTATTTTTAGTGGCCGATTAATTCTTTCTATTTTTAGTAGATGACAGGGGGTCTCGCTCCTTGCTCAGGCTGGTCTCGTAACTCCTGACCTCGAGCGATCCTCCCACCTCGGCCTCCCAGAGTGCTGGGATGACAGGCGAGAGCCACCACCTCGCCCGGACCCAAGTCACCTTTAAACAGTGATCATCATCTTCGTCTCAGGAAGCGCCCCCCCGCCGTGCCTGTGCTCTTGTATCATGAAAACACATTTACGTGTGAAATACTTATTCCCCAAATCTGTTAGCGACGCGGGAAGATTGGCACCACCAGTGGGAAACGCTAGCA